CACACATCTGAAAATAGAACAAACAAACATAAAAACTGTTAGCCTGCAAAAAATATATTTTTGTAGACTTTCAGGTTTAAAAACAGTATTGAATAATGATTTGGGCATGCTTTCCAAAAATCTTTCCTCTCTGTGAGAAATTATCATGTGCATTTTAATATGGTGACAATGAGAAACCTAAATATCAACTCATTGCAGTCAAACAAATTCTGAATTGTTGAGTGGGATCTAACTCCATGTGTGTTGTTCTGAGCAAACTTGTATAATAGGGTTTCTTGTTTATAATATCAATAGGAAGAGATTGCCAGGCTTTCTTCTGTAGTTCTGCTTTTAGGACCCCGGATGCTATTACTCATGATAACCAAACACCATGTAGTTTCTTCACTACATTTTGCTGTGGCACCCATGTATTTAGTATTTCATTATGGCTGAGTATTCGGCAGGGCCATGCTATAAGAACTAATTTTTCATATATTAGGGCTGTGCTCAGGTGATAATACAATATCTATTCTTACCACTGTTGTTTCTTTAAGTGCCTGGTTTTATTTCTTTGACAACATTGTCATTTTATTGAATTACATCATAAATTATCTCACTAAGGTTTCGAGCCATACTATTACTAGGAATATTATTGTAGTCATTGGTATAATCTTATTGATCAGAGAAGTTCACACGTGTGTAGTATATATCAGGCTCAATTACTTAAGAAGTTAGCTTGTGTATCTCCAAGATGTAGGTTACTGGTTGCTAGTTAATTATGGTGTGGGAATGGAAGCTAAACTAATACTCTTGGTAAACATCAGTTGTGGGATCAGAGGTAGACTAAACCTTGTCACAAAGAGGCAGAAAGAACAGGAAATATATATATCCCGGGTGGCAATCCATTGGGTGCATCAAGTAGATTTTGATCGTAGCAACCCTACAGGACAGGGCGTAAGAACCTGCGTGGGTTTCTGAGACTGTAACTCTTTATGGGAATAGAAAGTCTCATCTTTTTCTCTCCAACAGGGTGGTGGTTTCAAAAGGCTAACCTTGTGGTTTTCAGTGCAATGTGCAACCCACTATGGCGCCGAGGGTTTATACCTCCTGAACCTGAGAACCTCTCGAAAACAGGCTTGCACACTGAGCCCTATTGGCAGAAGTCCTGATGAGCCATGGGTTGACATGAAGGATATCATTGGAGGGAAAAACAAAAGTACATTGAAAAGAAATATTAAAGTGGATGTCATAAGAGACTCTGAAACTTGCTCATCATGCTAGAGTAGTTAAGGCAAGTGGAAAAAATGATGAAATCACATGCTGAACAAAAAAATGTCAAAAGTCATCTCAAAAGGACTATGTAAAGGCTAATTTCTGTAACTATGCAAAGACCTAGAGTTAGAAAAACAAAAAAAGGAAAAACATGCTCAGTTTAACTTAAATTGAAAGAACTAAAGAAAATGTCAAGCCTCAAGTTGCAATATTTAAAGATTCTGAGGAAAATATTGAATGATTAAGCAAGCATCAAACGAGTAGGGAAAGAACACGCAGAATTATTGTACCAAAAATAACTGGTAGACATTAGCTCTTTTAAGATGCATCATATGATCCAGAACCAATGGTAATAAAGTAAGAAGTCCAAGCTGTACTGAAAGCATTAGCCAAAATCAACCTTTCAGCGATCAATGGCACACAAGTTGAAATTTTTCAACAAGTTAATAAAGCACTAGAAGCACATACTCATGTGCACTAGGAAATTTGGAAGACACCTACTTGTTCAGCGGATTCTAAGATTTATATTTCTACCCATTCCAAAGAAAGGTGACCCAAAAGAATGTTCAAATCATGGAACAATATCATTAACATCACATGCCAGAAAAATTTTACTGATGATCATCCAACAAAGGTTGCCAGAAGTTAAAGCTAGATTCCAAAGTAGATATGAGACAAAGAATAACCTTGCTGGTTTCAGATAGCTCTTTGCTCAAAGCAGAGAATACCAGAAAGATGTTTACTTGTGTTCTATTGGCTATGTAAAGGCATTCAACTTTGTGGATCATAGCAAACTACGGATAGCCTTGAGAAGAATGAGAACACCAAAGCATAGATTCATCCATTTATCAAGAATGTGGATGGAACTCGGGAACACTGCATGGTTATAAATCAGGAAAGGCCTGCATCATGATTGTATCATCTACCAAATTTATTCAGTCTCTAAGCTGAGAAAATATGGCATAGATGAAGAAGAATTTGACATCACAATTGGTGGAAGGCTTATTAACAACCTTTGAAATGCAGATGACACACAACCTTGCTGGTTGTAATTGAGGAGTTGAAGGACTTTCAGATAGAGGTCAAGAATTTCTGCCTTCAGTAGGGATTACAGCTCAATATAAAGAAAACAAAAATACCCACAACTGGATAAATAGTAACATCACGATAAATGAAGAGTGGCTGAAGTTGTCAAGGATTTGGTCTTGCTTGGGCCCACAATTAATGCTCATGTAAGGAGCTGAAAGATCAAATGACCTGTTTGTATTGTGTAAAATGTTGCAGATGACTGCTTTAAAGTGTTCGTAAGCAAAAGTGTTACTTTGAGGACTAAGATGCTCCTTCCCCAAGCCACAGTATTTCCAATTGTCTCGTATTGGCAAGCAGTTTGGTTATAAGAGTTTCATACACATAAGGAAGTTGGACTCTGAATAAGAAGACCAAAGAAGAATCAATGCCTTTGCATGATGGTGCTGGAGAAGAATATTGAAAGTGCCCTGGATGGCCAAAAGGACAAGCAGGTCTGTTTGGGGGGAAGTGCAGCCAGAATTATCCTTGGAGGCTAGGATGGTGAGACTTCATCTCTCATATTTTGCATCGCCTGGAGCAGCTATCCAAAGCTATTTTAGAAACGCAGTCAGGAGAGACTAAACCCCGGAAAAGGACATCATGCTTGGTAAGGGGTCAGCAAAAAGGAAAACCTTCAAGCAGGGTGATTGAAACAGTGGCCGTCATAATGGAGTCAAAACTAACACCAATTATGAGAATAGTGCAGCATAGGGCAGTGTTTCATTCTATTGCACATAGAGTCACTATGTACAGCATCATTCAACCTTTCCTAAGAATAACTTAAAATCCTGGACATAATGTCTGGAATATAAAGATATGTTGAATTTTGAGATTCAAAGAATAATATAAAACCAAAGAAAACCCACTGCCATCAATTGTAGTCTGACTCATAAAGACTCTACACTGGGTGCCCGGGGCTGTACATCTTTACAGTAGCAGATAGCCTCAGTTTTCTCAGTGTCACTATTGGATATGAACCATCAAACTGGAGGCTAGGGGCTCAGTGCTTACCTGGGAGAACCCTCAAAGAACCACATGGCAGTGAGTTCTTTGGCTTTTCTTTGTATCTCCGGTATATCCTGAATTTAGTATTGGAGAATATTGCAATGTAGAATTGAGGTCCTGTTCAGATGAAACCGTTTTGATACAAACTTTCATTTTTTAACCAAAGGCTCTGGGAAGGAGCACTCTTGAAACAGAAACGTGGTCAGTGGCTCAAGCCCACTAACTGTTTCATCAAAGTACAATGAAACTGTTGATGGGTGTACTCATTTATAGTCCAGGAAATTTTACAGGGCGTTCCTATGACTTGAAGTCAATTTAATGGCAGTAGGCTTGGTGAAGTGTGAATGAATTGGTCCAAATCTAGAAGATCGCCATAGGAAGAGAAAACTCACTTCCTTTTCCTCTCCCATGATTATCAGACCCCTAAACAGTTTGCACTTCCAATCACTTCCAAGATAAGAAGGCACCTATCCTCTTTCCATGGTGTCAGTGACAGCACGTGGGGAGGCTAGGTATGACCGCATTGTAGCGGTGGAGGTCTTTAAAGATGCCAGATTTAAATAATATTCACTTTGGGAGGAAATAATATATCCCAAAATGTTGTATACATTTGAAAACCACTCCTAGTCTCAAGAATTGGGAAAATCTCAAAAGAGGAATCAAAACCAACAGATCGCAAATACTCAGATGACTTAGACGTTGAAATTAGTTGACAATATTTAAAGTTTAAGGGGGATGGTTAACCTGAAAAATAAGGGCATGGTTAATTTTTAATTCATTGAAATTCATAAAATTAATTCAAGACCACAAGCGAGTGAATCTAACAGCTGATTATAAAATTAGGTGTACTTTCTAATTAAAATTTTAATAAAAACAAATAAAGATCATCAGAGTTTTAGGTTCTGTGGGAAGAAAAAAGTTTTGGAGTTCCATAAAAAGAGAAGAGTGTGATGTTGAAAAACAAATATAAATGTAATAGCTAAGATTTTTCCAATTAGCCCTAAAACATACAATTGCATATTAGTTGAATGAACTACAGTCAAATGAAACCCAGAGAAATTTACATCATGCTATCATAATAAAGTAATGAAAAATAAAGGAAGAGAAAGAAGCTTGGACACAGCTAGAAAGGATCCAGAAAACTATCTGTTCCTTGAAAGATTTGCAGTCTTTGAACACCCTCCATAAAATTGCAGTGAGTCAGAACGAAGTGCCTGCAGTGGGGAATGAGACACAAAGAATCAAATGACATTGGATTTTTCATCTGCAATCCATGGAGACCAGAATGTAGTGATAAAACATTTTTCAAATTCAGAAAGAAAGAGAAATGTCAACCACAAATGTGTATATAACGAACACCATCCACCAGACTAGTGGAGTGGTACAGGCATTCTCTAAGGTCAAGTACAAGAACTTGTCTCCAGCAAACCCGTATTCAGTAATAGTAAAATTAATTTCATAACACAAAGAGAATTGAAAAATGAAAGAAAGACAGAAAACAATGGGGGTGATTAAAAATCACAGGGGTAAATATAGTAGACAAATATTTAAGAACTAATAGATTTTACCTTTGCACTGAGGTGGTTCTGTCCAGGTTCCATTCATGCACATCACTTCTACCTCTCCATAGAGTCTATAATGCTTGTCACATTCATAACGTACTTTCTCTTCCGGTGGATACTTCATCATCGGTTTTGAGATCATCTTACCATTTTCAACCTTGGGAGGATTCGTCAGATAGATCTTTGCTCAAAGCAGAGAATACCAGAAAGATGTTTACTTGTGTTTTATTGACTATGC